TTGACTACTCACCCTCAATCACCCCTCCCAAGATGCCATCTCCTCTCAAATCCACATCAAGCAGCAAGAAGAAGAAGGCCTAAATAATTTTATTGGGCCATAAGGATAAGCTGTGCTTTTGTTATCTCTAATATGAAGTGCTTCTCTAATAAATCGGTTTCATTTCTCGTCTATCTTCTGATAACGTCTTTAACACGAAATGAGGTGTCAGTGTCTAAAATATTTTAACAAGATCTACACGCTAACTTTGTACCTATAAATTGGTATTCTTCCTCATAAGTTTTACTCACACTCAGTTCTTAGAAAAGAGAAGCTTGTAGGGATGAATAAAGGCAAAGGACAAATCGATGAGGCCGAGAGAATTGCCACTCACCTAGATCATCATCTCCAAGAAGCCAGCAGTCTACCAAATGCCACTATCATTAAGCTGGAAGAAGACGGCGAAAGGGTCAACGTAACATACTCCATGCCCAACACTGCAACCAGAAAAGAGAAAGAGATACTAGACAATATCGTCAATGAATCTCGGGTAAAGAAGGCATACCATTTGGAACAAGCCAAACGGCTTGCCAACGAAAGGATAATGGTGTTGAAAAGCGCCAACAAGCACTCAACAAACCCACCCACCTTTCATTGGTACACTATCTCTGAAGTTCCACAACCAAGTGAGGAATCTTATGAAGATTTCACTTTGGTTCACTCTCGGTCACCTATTCAATCACCTGTGCCCACCCTCTCTCTGGAGGAGCTGGATGAATATGCGCAGAAGGCAAATCTGCCTGATATGACCGAAGAGATGACTCGTCTGGAACTTCACGTGCCCTACCGTTTTCTCTAGTTGTTGCTTGTTGTACCTTTGTGGCTTGGAGCACTCTCTCTCTCTCTCTCTCTCTCTCTCTCTCTCTCTCTCTCTCTCTCTCTCTCTCTCTCTCTCTCTCTCTCTCTCTCTCTCTCTCTCGTAATTCAATAAAATTTCTTATTTTCGTGTTAATTCTAATTACTCTTTTTGACTATGTTTATATTTGTCAGAATAACCCTCCTCCGGTCAAAGATGAACTTATTACACATATATTATCTGGAAAACATTATAATAATTAGATATCACGTATCAAGCATTCAACACTGATTGGTTAAAGTGGAAGTAATTATCCTTGGTTGATTATCCTTTACTTGGTTTTCCTACATCTCTCGTGAGAATAATCAATAAAAAATCTTCTGGCAAGAACGTATGGATATTGAAGTGACATTACTGTTCTCGAAATCATGAATTCTTTGAATACAATCAGTCAAAGTCTTGCTTGGAATTGATTACTCCTTGAAGAAATATATGGGCATTGATTGCAGCATTAAAAGAGTTGTGTAACAGTCACATAAACGTTATGAGATTACGGCTATAAAAGGAAGTGAATCCTTCACAATTTCATCATCACCTTCCTCACCATGTATCCCAAAAAGCCTTTTACCAGAGGTGACTCTCAAAAATTGAGAGACATTGCTAGACAAGTTCGGGAGGAACAGGGAGACCTCTATCCTGGCAACAGTCTGCAAGCTCCGCTTGAGATATTTTCTGATACTGATTCATCTCATCAATATGATGAGATGGCTGCATACATAGTTGAGGAACCTGGGGAAGGACCTCAGGAAGAAGAAAACCCTCCAAGAGGAATTGCTCCTCCACAAACAACTCCTGAGGATCCTAGCAAATACTACAATTCGGACTACATGGATTTTCTGAAAGAAGAGCACGAAAGTGAGCCAAAGGCCAAGGAGGAAGAACCTGAATCGTCCTCGGGCTCCAACTATCTGCGTACCGAAAAATGGTACAAACGCATGTGGGCTGATCTGAAAAAGCCGAAAGCTGAGCCGTCTGGGGTCAAGGCAAACGAGATAAATAAAAACTAATCATTCGGATTATGTATCTTAACTTATGTAACTGTTTCTCTCGTTTTTATGCTTAATAAAATCATGGGTTTAATTCTGGATCTATTCAAGTGATGGGCGAAACTTTACTTGTTTCGTCTATGACCGTATCTCGAACCACGCATATTTTTCTTGGAAATGAACATATTCCCTTAAGCGTGCTTATGACAAGTCATTCGGGTCACAACTTTTGAGACGATTGATACTCTATTTAATGGACCCTCTCGAGGATAATGGACTCATTCTTCACATTTCATAACCTCATGGATAAAGGGAAAGAGATGGCTCTCACAACCAAGAGTCTGTCTGGGTCCGAAGATGACTCTCGTCATAAACCCAATAGTTCACTTGTAAAGGGTTCATCTTCTGGAAAGGCACCAGATGTTTCAGAATTTTACTCACTTGTACAACTTGCGCTACAACTGAAGCACGAAGAAAAATATCGAGCACTGTATGCTGGTGCTAAAGCCAAAGTCATGGCTGAACTAGATGACATGGAGAGACGAGGTCTCTCGAGAGATGCAATGGGGACGGATCATGAAACAATCATAGCAGAAGTATTGCTCATGAGATTCGAAAGAAGGAGTATTTGGAAAATGCTCGAAAGAAGAGGGTCGGCATTGAGCAGAGGTTCACGCGTCCAATTTCACATGAGAGATAGTGACAATTCTTATCATGTTTGTTTCGTGTAATAAATCTCTCGGACTATGAATCTCCCCTGTATGTTGTGTATGAGATTTGTTTGACTTTATTTGTCTTACAAATCTTCTATTATGAAAAGTTTATCTACTTTCGGTTTTGAATCGTGTTTAAGAAGCCTCATCCTTTGTCTCTCATCAAAACCGTTTAAATGATTCATCATGGGGATCGTGTGGCCGAGAAAAATGGTCCACTACCCCACTATGACTGACAGATGAATTGACGTGCATTTAATGCACGTACAGATACTTGAGTGGTTTTCTCTCTCCACATTAAATATGGAATGATCAAAATTGATCTGCGCATGATCTTATCACTCTCCCATAATCAGATCAGTTGCCATATGAAGAAGAGGAACCGGCTGAAATTTTAAATTAAAATCATCCATCTCAAAATGGGTTACCCGTATTCGAATACCCGGAAATATGTGAAACCCTACATAAACCTTATTCTTTCCATACTTCACCTTTTACATTCATCCTCTACCTCTAAACACGACTGCCAAACTTATACTCTCTCAAACACCTCACAATGGCGAACAAGTCACATGTTACATCTTCCGATACAGAATCAGAAACCCTAACTACTCTGGAAATTCCTACTTTTCCTACTGAAGACATACGCTTCATTGAATCAAGAGTTCCATTTATTGTCGGAGGAAGCATGTGGGATGCTCACGGGTTTCTTGAATACCTCTTGGATCGAGGGTTTGGCGAGAACATCATCCGTCTGCTCACAGAATCTGGGCTGTACAGGTTCATTACTGATCTCTATACCATATGGTGTCCTATTGATGTTGCTCAGTTTTACATGAACGTAACTGTATCTTCCGATTCTCTAACCATCACCTCCAGAGTTCACAACCATCAAGTAGTCATAACCTCCGAGGACATTCGAGCCACGTATGAATTTCCACAGAGGGATGAATCATACAAATCTAATCTTTCTTATTACCACTACGACCAAGATGATTTCTATGAATCCATCAAGAACAACAATGCACCCTTGAAGACTGAAATCACATGGCCTTTGAAGAAGAAGTGGTTTCGTCTCAACTATGAATTTACGGTGGACATCTTCAACAAGGTTGTTGATCACAAGACCTCTGGAACAGATGATGTGACAAAAGAGAAGCTTAAGATGTTGCATGCCTTTCTCTACGAACACAAGGTTGACTGGTCGAAGATCATCTTCAACAACCTTGTTCACACCATCACCTACAACAGGAAGAGTTCGGGTGATATCCCAAAGAAGCTAGGATATGATTTCGTGGTCAGCCATTTACTCGTCACCAAAGGTGTCCTCCTGCGACCTGGAATTCGGCCAGGACCAAAAGCTTGCCACATGAAGCAGAAGCCATTCGGTTATGAAAGACATAAAGCCTTGGAGTTGGTTAAAGCCAAACGAAAGTCAAGGATGCCAAAAGCATCAGAAGATGACCAACCCAAGCCGAAAAGACAAAAGAGAGAAAAACGCTCATCTCGGGTTAAAGCGAAAAGCAATGATGTTAGTCAACCCACACCAACCTCTCCAAAATCCCCTCAAGAAAAGAAAACTTCCACTCCACCTCCTCCACCGCCAAAAACAGTAATTGTCAAAGACTCATCTGAAGAAGACAACATGATTCTGTCTAATCTCGGCAAAAAGGGACGTTTTCGTTCTCCTGTCAAACCAAAGCCTGTCACACCTCCCTCCCCGAAAGCAGATACCACATCGAGAGAAGCAGAAACGAGAGAAGTACTCCCTCAAGGGGAAGAAAGAACGAAAGAGGCACCTTCTCAGGGGGAAGGTCAACCGAAGGAAGCTTCTCCAGAAAAATTTTCTAAACGACAAGAACCAGATATTGGTCACATTTCTCCTCCAGTCCTTCATCCACAAGAACCCACTTCAGCAGAGCGACATATTCAAGGATCGACACAAGAACCTGCTGCTGTGGAAATAGAGGCCAGTCGCTTAAGTCTTCCACAAGAACCTGGTTCGCCAACAAAGACGAAAGAAGTGACTGATGCATTGATTGAAGTTCTGTCTCTGCCACAAGAACCTACCAATGCAGAGCAGGTAATTCTGACACAAGAACCTACGTTGGTAGACGAGACAGCTGTTGTACCAGTAGAAACTCCTACCATCCCGAAAACATCAACACATGTTCCCGAAGCAACAGTTCGACCTCCAACGAGAGATCAAGTGCTTCGTGAATCCATAAAGAGTGATTATAATAGAGTTTTGCAGTGGCAAAAGTGGCGCACAACCCCCTTGAACACATTCATTGAAACCTTTGAAGCCATGCAAGAAGAAGAGAAGTTTGCCCAAAAGTGGATTGGCACAGAAGATGTCTATGAAGCACTTCACTTGAAAAAATAAGACGAGTGTTCTCTTACAAGATGACTAATCGCACTCTCGGAAAAGAGAAGGCTCCGATCTGCATTGAACTCAACAAGCCACCATTGGATCCAGCCTTTGAAGAAGAGATGAAGCAACTTCGATATGCCTTGTTGCTATCAAAAATCAAAACTACTCTTGAGAAGGAACACCAGAATGATCCGAACTGCAACGTAAGTGGCTCGAAAGATGAGCATGGCCGAGAGATTGACTCAGACAAAGAAGACGAAAGTGATGAAGAAGATGAAGACGATACTGATGTCGAAGATGCAGATGATGAGCATGACGATGATGATGATGATAATGATGACAATGATGACTTGGGCAATGATAGAGATAAACGGGCTGACCCGAATTATGATAGCAAATCTCCCCTCTTGATTGGTCCTGATTGTGACACCTTTCCTCAACGATCTCCTCTTGAAAAATTTCCCTCTGACAGTGATGACACGAAGGAAGCATCACAACAAGATAAAGAGATTTCAACTGCTCATCCCGAAGACTTGTCTCGAGCAATAATTCCACATATCCAACCCATGGACGAGACTCCAATCAAGCGTGAAGAAGCACTTGTGCGTGAGGGAAAAATGGACGCCTCACCAATTCTTCTCAGCTCAGCAAGTGGTGGCAAAAAGGAAGCACCACCTCAAGACGAACAGATGGACACATCGCCAACCAATGTTGAAGAAGATTCATCCCCGGAGTCCCCACGGATTATCATGAACCTCATGCGAGAAACTGTTCATGCAGCTGAAACCATTCATCAGCAATATCTAACTCTTCGGCAAAGGGACACGAAAGCATTGGAGGACTTATCCAAGAAGGTAGACCTCTTGATGGCTGCCCAAACTCAGTCTCAGCCTCCACCTCAAGAACAGCCTCAACCGCCTCCACAAGCTCAACCTGATCAACAGTTCAATGATAAAGTGGCAAAGAAGCTCTATGACTTTCATACCACCATCAACAAAGTTGCACGACAACAACACGAACTCAAACACTCACACTTTAGCCTCAAAGAGCGTGTTGATTTGGCTTGCACAAAGATAGATACTTCACAGGACAACACATACCAGCTGGGACAATATGCTCTTCAAATTCTCGGGTATATCCAAGACATCTTGATTGCAGTGAATAAATCTTCCAATGTTCCTCCTACCACTTGTGCCGATGATGCCAAAAAGGGGGAAAAGAGAAACAATGACGACAAGGATAAGGATGATGATCATCCGAGAGATAACATGAGAGAACGGTCTCCGAGGGAAACTCCAAAAGAACGACGTTCTCCTTCTCACACACCAAGAGACTCTGGCCAAAGAAACACAAAGTCGTCGCATCCCCCATCAAAGTCTCGTGGTCACCATTCCTCACAGTCAAGATACTATTCGAATCGTGGTCGATCCCAACCCAGATCACTCAAGCCTCGTCAATCTTATGATTCTGAAGCTCAATATATTTTCACTGGACTCTCCAAGAGAGAAAAAGACGAACCTGAGACAGAGACTCATGAAGAACAACAAAGTAACTATGGATGGCATAGGAAACTTTGTAGATTTTAAACCTTATGAAGAAGGTAGTGAAAAATGTTTTGAGGGTTACAACGTTCCTGTCTGGCTCAAGACAAAGGACAATCATACAAGGCAACATCATATAAGCACCCAAAACGAAAGGATCAAGAGAGAAAATAGAGAGCTATGGGCGAAACATGAAGAAGAGGTTAGAAGAAGAGAGCATGAATTAGAGGAAAGAGAGAGAGTAAAGAAGCTTATCGAAGATCTCTCAAATGTAACCAAAAACTCTCCGCAAGGTGTTATCTACAATGCAGCTTTCAAAGTGCATACTGAGTCCGAAAAAAGTTACAAAGCGGGAATGAATTATTTTGAACTCATCTCGTGGTGGAAGGCTGGAATAGTCGAAGGAAGAAATATTCGTGAAGCCGACAACAATTACACAAGTATGAACATCAAAGGAAAACACGAAGATCTTGTCAAGACAAATCCTATTAAGATCTTCAGAAAACGGATCAATGAGGAAATCGACTTCACCAGAATGCTCAAACAACAAAAGGAAAGGGACACTCGTGAACATGAGGAAGCCGAGCAACAGAAGTCAAAACTTCTAGAATTGTAAGATGTCTTTCCTTTTTGCTCCTCTTAAAAAGTTTTTGTAATATTCACTATCTTTATATGAAACTCTCATTGTTACACATCTCGTGTCACTTGTCTGAGTTATTTGTCCTTGTCTCACTTATTAACGCTTTTATCTAGAAAAGACTTGTAAACTCTCAAGTATGGCTGACTTTATAATAGAAAATTCCTTATGGAACCTTTTATCAGCTTTATAAGAAGAGTATAGGTTTTGGCATCATCAAAAGGGGGGAAATTGTTAGGAACCTTGTATTAGGATTTTGGTGATACCAATGTAACGTAGAAAGTAGACCCCTAACCATTAGTTTTTTCAATCACTGCTTTCGTCCTAGACGAGAGTTGCCATAACTCTTATATATGTAATTCGTGTTAAGCTAGACAAACACACGAAAACGAGTTATGCTTAGTTGTTAGGGTCTCCAAGACGAAAGAAGACACAAGGCATGAAGTACAGCAACGAGAATTCACCAGGAGTTGTCATCTACCTCGAAAGGACAGACTTATTAAAGACGATCTCACCAAGCATTCTTCCTCTTCAACAACGAGAAGAATGTTCCTTCTGTCTGATTTGACAACATCCTAGGAACAAAAGGACCTCAACTTGTGGGACACGATTACCAAGGAGCATTAAATGAAGATGTACTATCTCCTGAAGCTAAAGGACAAAACCCTAAGGCTCTCCATGCCATCAACGGCTACAAGGTACAACCTCATTAATGGAGCATTTAATGCGGAAAGCTCCCCGGTCCTTACCCACTGGACAATAGGTTTGAAAGTTCATCTCCCCCCCAACGGATGAATTTTTCATCACCTATATAAACTCACCTTCACCAACTAAGAAGGGGCTGGTTTTCTATCACTCGATCTATCTACAAACAAAAGCTCTTAAAAACGCTCTCAGCTCTCTCTAAGCTTTTGTGAACCAGTATTAAGGTGCAAAGATACTTGAAGAAGCTCATCAACCCTTATCTTTCACCTTAAAGGAGTCTTGAATCTTGTGTGAAGCATTCATCCATCATCAATCAAGACTTCATCACGTTGGAGAAATCAGAAATCATTTTCTACCAACCTCAACTCTGAAGAAGACGTTGATAGAGGCGGAGTAAACTCTCGGAGTTGAAAAACCTACAAAGACTGTCCGGCTTAGTGATCAAGGAAGTCTTTGTGTATTTGTACTAACGAGTGATAGTGCAAACCTTCCATAAGTTGTGGAAGAAGAGTGGAGTAGGCAAAGTTGGCCGAACCACTATAAAACTCTCGTCTCCCTATCTCTTTACTTATCTCATTTATTTTCTTATCGCATCATTCCTTTCGCCAATACCGAAAGTATTTTCCATAACGACTAAACGTGCAAAGCAAGTAAAACAAACTTAACATTTCCGCTGCATTAAAACACCGAAAGGTGACATTTTAGCAAATTAAACACGAAGAGAGTCTATTCACCCCGCCTCTAGACTCTCGCTTTATCACTACCGGGACTAACACAAACCATAGCTGCTGTGCTGCAGGTACGCATCTATTCTCTTGACTAAATAGATGAATTTTTTATAATTCCTCTGCAGCAAATGTTTGTTCGATCTGAAGTATTAACTTGCGAAAATTTCTTGATTTTCATTCAATAAAAAAAATAAAAATATACCTGCTCAAAAAACATTGGAATTTGCTGACTGTGACTCACACCTATTTAGTATAAATAATTTCAAATTTAAAATATATATGCTAAATTTTAAGACTTTTTATTCTTAATTATACTTAATTAAAAAAAGAGTTAATCGGCTATCTCTAGCTCTTTCTTCTAAATTTTTATTTGGTAAAATTATTTTTATTGAGTTTTAATTAATTCTTGCACAATCTATATCTTCTTCTTCTAAATTTATTTGTTAAAATTGTTTTTATTGAGTTTTAATTAATTCTTACATAATTTATATTTATTTTTCAGATTACTTTTAACTATTCGATCTGGACTCATAAAGGTATGCATAATTGTTATATTCTTCTTAATTATATTTGCTTAGGTGTTTGTAGACATCAGTAAAACTCCTACGCCTATTGAAAATGAATACATCCAACCCAGTTGCATTTTTAGGTTTTCTATACCAAAAATGTCAATCAGCATCATACTCTATTTTTAAACTGTATTTTACAAAATGTTTAAAACTACATTATTTGAGTATTGAAGTTACACCATATTGTATACTATCAAATAATGTATATTCTGTATATCTTTATTATATTAAATTTTATTTTTTTTAATTTATGGATCACAACAAAATTTCTTGACGTAGACAAGTCTTGGTCATCCACTAGATATGTGGCATTGGATTCGATCTTATCCTAATTTCTTTAGTACAATAATTGACTAGGAAACATTCTTGACCCACTGGTAGGTACCATGCATCTATTCCCTTGATTCGTTGAATAATTAGAAAATTAATTTTTTTATACTTACAAACGGAGCATGTTAGTGTAACTAGTACCATAAAGTCATAAACATGAAGTTATATGAGTATTTTGATCTGAAGCATTAAATTTCAATTTTTATTTTTGTTTTAATTTCACTGTAAAAATAAATTGGGTAACTGTAACTCACACCTCTATATATATATTACAGTGAAATTACAGTTACCAATTTATTTTTACAGTAAAATTAAAAAAATATATATTATATATATATAGAGGTGTGAGTTACAGTTACCCAATTTATTTTTACAGTGAAATTACAGTTACCCAATTTATTTTTACAGTGAAATTAAAACAAATATATATATATATATATATATATATATATATATATATATATATATATATATATCCCTACAATGTCTTTATTTAAAAAAAAATTATTCATTATCAATAAATTAAATAAGAGAAATAATTTTATCAGTTATATTGTCTTTATTTTTTTTCAATGTAAAAATTATTTACATTCAAATTCATTAATTGATTATATTTACTACATTGTCTATTATCTTTTTTGTGCACTATTTTTTAATTAAGTATCAAAGTTATAATACAAAATAATGTTATATATTTATTTACCAAGTATTTTATTACTACCATAAAAAATTTTAAAAAAAAAATTATAATTAATAAAGTCAATCATATTAACTACTTGAGGGATTTGTTAACAAAGAGAGTATTCAAATCACACAACAAATTGAAGTGGGAACTACCTAACAATGTCCTTGTTTGACAATCAGCAGTTAACAGTAGCGGATTATATTAGCGGATTTAACCAATGAATTTTATCAACGGTTGGTAAAAAGATATTTGAAAAAATTAGCTGTTTGGATTAACATGTAAAATGACTAGAGTTTAATAATAATAATAATAATAATAATAATAATAATAATAATAATAATAATAATAATAATAATAATAATAATAATAATAATAATAATAATAATAATAATAATAATAATAATAATAATAATAATAATAATAATAATAATAATAATAATAATAATAATAATAATAATAATAATAGTTTTTAAAAAATAAAAAATATATATAATTAAGCCAATCATATTAACTACTTGGGGGATTTATTGACAAAAAAAGTATTCAAATCACACAACAAATTGAAGTGGGAAACTACCTCGCAATGTCCTTGTTTTGGCAATCAGTAGTTAGCTCTTCAATATTAGCATATATTTAATATTTTATGTCCTAATTTTTATTTGCTCTCCATTATGTCCTGGTTTCAACCATACCTATACAATTATTTTATTGACAATTATAATCAATCTTGACTATATTATCTTGCATTTATAAACTTAGAATTACATATTTAAATATGTAAATTCATCATTCAATTATCTATGCATGAACAATTACAATATAATCTTGTATTGATATACTTTAAATTACTTATTTTATATATATAAAAAAACATTGGGCATTATCTCAATCGCGCAATGCACGTAAAATACTAGTACTTTTATTAAGAATTAATATTATCTGAGGTCAGTATAGTGGTTTTACGCAAATTATGCCGTGGAATCGTGTTCACCGAGAATGGTGAACACAAGTCAAAACGATGTCGTTTTTAGGCAAAAAAAAAAAAAAAATCGCGGATGTGGAGTTAACGGCGCGTTACTGATCAAATTATGAATTTTCTGTTATAAGATTATGAATTTTATGAAAATTCATAATCTCATAACAGAAAATTCATAATCGCATAACAGAAAATTCATAATCTCACAACTGAAAATTCATAATCTCATAACAGAAAATTCATAATCTTATAACAGAAAATTCATAATCTCATGGTTCCAAAGTGAATGTGTAGGCATGGTTCCAAAGTGAATGTGCAGGCATGGATTCATAATTTATGAATGTCCGTGATTTCGGACGGGAATATGTAGGCGTGGTTCCAAAGTGAATGTGCATGCATGAATTCATAATTTATGAATGTCCGAAACTCCGAAATTATGAATGTAATGAAAATTCATAATCTCATAACAGAAAATTCATAATCGCATAACAGAAAATTCATAATCTCATAACAGAAAATTCATAATCTCATGGTTCCAAAGTGAATGTGTAGGCATGGTTCCAAAGTGAATGTGTAGGCAGTCACGTAATTAATCAAAAAAAAAAAAAAAAAAAAGAAGAAGAAGATAACGGTGCACTAACACCGTTGAAACCGTGTTCACCATGAATGGTGAACACGATTCCATGGCATAACGTTTGGTGGTTTTACCATCATTAGTCATAAACTTTCAAATTGAACCCATGTGTCCTTCGAAGTGTAGCATAATTCTTTAGCAATCCGTTTAGACTTTAATCCACGGAAGCTCAAGACGATAACTATATTTAATTTCCCATTGGCCTCTTGTTTTGTTTTTTAATAATAATTCTTTTTCCATTTCCTTGACCTTTAGTTGGCAGTTTCCTTGAAGTTCCTTCGCTCCTTCCTTGGAATATCTTAGGGTCCGTTTGGAAAGTAGGAAAATGACTTCTGGGAAATGATTTCTGGAAAAGGAGTCATTTTTCGAAAAACATTTTCCTTTTCCAGTGTTTGGTTGCATTTGAAAAATTGCTTTGGTGTGTTTGGTTCATTTTCTGGAAAATGAGTAGAATGGTATAATTAAATATTTTATTTAGAATAAAAAATACATTTTAAAAATGTTTAAAACAAAAAATAAAAATAAAAATGGACCATAGCCATGGTTTCTGGCGGAAAAAAGTTCCGCCAGAAGCTAAAAAAAAAAAAAAAAAAAAAAAAGAAATAGCAAGGGCGGAAAATGACTTCCGCCAAATTGAGCACATTTTCCTTAGTCAACGGAAAATGTTTTCTGTTGACTAGATTTTTCAAGTGTAGTCAAACACCAAAAATTCGAAAAATGATTTCCAGAAATCATTTTCCGGGTTTCCAAACACAGCCTTAGAGTGAGTTTGGGTTTTGTAGCATAAGTTTGTAATTCTTTGCTTGTAAGCTGCAATAGATCACCCAAACTTTTACAGCTACGTTCCAATTTTCGAAGAACATCCACCACAAAGGTATGCAAATTCTATTGAGAAAGTTTATCAATTATTAAAACTATTTGCTATTACTGTTAGAACATTTAAAAATCATGCAATTAAATCAAAATTGACATGTTACTCTGGTTACAGTTGATGTGTCTATCAGTTTATTAAAAAATATTTTTTAAATTTTATTTTAATAATTTTAAATAAATTTAGAAAAAAAAAAACATTTTCGTCTCCCAACGTGTGATGAAGTTCATTCGTCGTCTACGTCCTAGAGACAAAAGTGGAGGCCAAGAAAACGCCTTCACCTCCAAATGTGTTTTTATTTTTTATTTTATTTAAATTTATTAAAATAAATTTTAAAAAATATTTTTAATAAAATGACTGACAGGCCAACGATAATCGGAGAAACATGTCAATTTTGATGGCATAATTTTAAAATATTCAGGACCTCAGTTACATTTTTTTTAATTGAATGACCCAATTAGATTTTCACGTATAGTTATATAGCCTATTTAAACATTATTCATTCTTTTTTTTTAGCAATAAAATGTTTTGCAATTTTGTAAAATAAAAATAAAATAAAAAAAAAAAAAAAAAAACATCATCAAGAAATTGCCGATGATGTGCCATTCTGAACGGTTATCGAAGTTTTCCTCGAAATACGTCTGTTTTTGTCATTTAACATTTCTTTATTTCCTAGTAATTTAATATATTTCAACTTTTAACTTTAGCTGTGAAAATGGCAATAACATTTTACTGAGTACTATTGACTCTGTTACAATGTAGCATAGGATATACATATTTTCTTATACCTATTGAAATATCGACCACTAGATCTTTGACAACAATTTAATTTACTAAAATATATAAAATTCTCTGTAGTTTTACAGTAGGAATAGCATGCATTAGCTCTCGTTGATTGGAAGATCGAAAGAGATAATTCCATAATAGTTTAGTCGTTGCATTAAAATTAGTGTTTTTCTCATTGTTCAATATACTCAATTTTTTTTTTAATTTTTTTTTTTTGAAGACAATATGGCCGAGCCATATGTCAGTGCAGCCTGGAATTCATATAACAAATTTAAGGATTTTGATAAAAATATGAAAGCTCTGAAAAGACAAGTAACTCAACTATCTAGTCAAGCAGAAGACATAGAAACAACGTTGATGAACTTGGAACAAGGAGGGAAAAAGAAGAGAAAATTGGAAGTCAAGGGTTGGCTTGAACAAGTAGAAGAGATGAAAAACGATTTTGAAGCATTCAATGAAAGAATAACAAATGGGGGATTAGTGGAGAAAGTAAAGAACTCAAAGATGATCTCAGAAATATTGGTGAACTTACAATAGTTGATGTGGATGAAAGCACAATACCTTCACTAGTCGTCTCTCAGTTATTTGGAAAGACATCTAATGATAATTTAGAGAAATTATATGGATGGTTAGAGGATGATAAAGTGTCGAGCATTGGTGTGTACGGGATGGGAGGTGTTGTGAAGACGGCATTGGTGAAACATATACATAACCGAATTCTCCAAAAAATGTCTGGTGTTAAAGTTTACTGGGTTACAGTTTCTCAAGATTTTAGCATAAAAAAGTTGCAGGATGACATTGCCAAAATTGCAAGTCTTCAATTTCTTGACGAGAATGAAGAGCACAGAGCTGCCATTTTACACCAACACTTAGTGGGGAAGAGAACTGTGCTCATATTGGATGATGTGTGGAAGTGCATTCGGTTGGAGAAATTGGGTAACCCTCATAGGATTGAAGGGTGCAAGTTCATTATAACTTCTCGCTCACTACAAGTGTGTCACCAGATTGAGTGCCAAGAATTGTTCAAAGTCAATACTTTTAATGAAAATGAAGCTTGGGATTTGTTCAAGGAGAATTTATTACTTCATGGTCATACTGTGCTCACCAATGCCATTGAAAAACATGCAAAAGAATTGGCCAAAAAGTGTGGCGGCTTACCATTGGCACTCAACACTGTAGCCGCAAGCATGCGAGGGGTGAATGATGATCACATCTGGAGGAATGCCATTAATAATTTCCAAAATGACTCTCTTCAATTGGAAGACTTGGAAAATAATGTGTTTGAAATACTCAAATTTAGCTACGACAGATTGAATAATCAAAGGTCAAAAATAAGTAATGTATAATTTTATTTTCATATACTTGTGTATCAATCATTGACACATTCGATGACGAGATGATGGACTCAGCCATTTAAGTCGCTGCCTAACGCATCTTCTCACTTTATTTTTCTTACTTTCCTTTTAATCCGTTTCAAAGTATTGTCAACTTTTTACAAATTACTTTTTTTTTTAAACACTACTAACTTTTTATCACTAGTACAAAATTAACCAATTTGCGTCAGAAGTAAAATCCAATATGTCTGAAGTACTTCATGCGCATATGCCAATTTGCATTAGAGGTGACATTAGACGTAGGTTGTTTTTTTTTAAATAAAAAAATTTGCCTTTACAACAGTGCGTCGATTTTTATAACAGAAACAAACGCAATTTAGCCTTCTTTTTTTAAAATTTGTACATTCTGCGTCAGCTCCTGAATAGAAACAAATGCAGATGGTCCTTTTTTAAAAAACAACTTATTTATTTGATAAAAATAGCAATTTTTACCTATACATTCCAACTATATAATCAATATTCTACAATGTCAACACATCAATATCTATAACATCTTACTACAAATGTTTTCAACACATCACAGACATCATAAATTCCTTAATAATTAAATATGATGCCAAGATGCACATATATTAATTCCTTCATGTTGGGAAAAATCTCACCACCTATGACAAATAAAATCACAGGACCGACAAGAGCACAAATACGAGATGGTACAAAACAGTCAAAATAAATAATAGACACAAGGGACACAAGATTTACGTGGAAAACCCCAAAACCACGGACCACCACCAACACACTATTCCACTATAACAAATCTTGGGTACAAAGTTGCTGGCTACCATCCGAGCCAAACACCCTAAAAATCATCAAATACAACAACTCTAGGCCAAATACATTCTATCACGTTCACAGGCCTAAAAGGGATACCAAACTCGTACTCCAAATATTCAACCACCACGAACAAGGTAAAAAGAATACAAATATTACGAGCTTACTCAAAACGATGATGCAAGGAACAAACACTGACCTCTACAAATATTTGATGAAGAAAAGTACCACAAAGATCTTCGGCAAACCTCACGACAAATCCATCAGACGTGCGATAAAACCTGCTGACACACGACGCCGCCGTGCCACCAAAGAAGCTAGGCAAACCCACAACAAAGTAGAACAAAAAGAAGAAGAAATAGATGTTGTTCCTTCAACTGCTGCATACGGCCGTGAAAAGAGAAAGAAAGAAAACTGAATTTTTCTTTCTTTTTGGCCTAGTGCTTCTGCCAAAAAATATAAATGGAATATGTGTAGTATGTAGAAGTGTCTGGTGTAGTGGTGATTAGAGTTGTCGGGTTGGGCCCGTTTAACCCGTATTTTACACGGGCTGGGTTGGAGGATTTCCAGCCCGTCCCGTGTAACCCGTTGGGGGATACGAGTTATACGGGTTGGGCCGTGGGTTACACGGCCCGGCCCGGCCCGGCCCATATAACCCGTATCCCCACCCACCCCACTCCTAAATGTGTTGTATAATGGGGTATTTTATTAATATTTAAAAACATTGTTGCTAACAAAACTTGAACCTTTGACCTTTTACTTAAGGTATCAAATTATTACTATTAAAACCAATTATGCTAAGAACACATGTTGAACATTTGAATATAATTATATATCTATTTACATCATTCACAAGAATTATTAAATATATAACTGATTGATTTATATTACATTTATTACAAGTATTAATTAATACAATTAATTGTATCTGTATATAAATATTAATATTAATTTAAAGTTTATTTATTATATAAACTACATAAAGTAATAAATTATATATTTTATAAACTTTATAACTTAATAGTGTATATTATAATTATAAAATAAAAAAATATTACATGTAAAATATATTAGTATTAAATATAAATTAAATAAATTATAATTACATTTTTTTGAATGCTACTAGCTCTATTACATTGTAGTATTTGTTCATATACTTTCTCAACCTACTGAAACACAAAGAGCCAATAACGCCTCCACACTGAGGCTCGAACTCATAACCTTCCAAATGGAAGTCCAACCCGGATACCATTAGACCACATAGTCCTGGTAAATTATAATTACATATTACATATTAAAAATTAAAATCTAATTTTATATGTGTATATGTTATATGTGTATATACATATTTGTATATATATAAATATACATATTTGTTCATTATGGTTAATGTGGTTGATTGGAAATAGTCTTGGCTACTAACTTAAGTCATGGGTTCAATTCCTAAGCAATACAACAATAAATATTTTAATCATGTAAAAAAAAAAAAAAAAAAAAAAAAAAAAAAAAAAAGAATAAACGGGCCCGTCAGCCCGTCCTACACGGGTTGGGTTGGGAAAATCCCAACCCGTGGGAAAACGGGTCGGCCCGTCCCGTTTCCAGTTGAACCCAAGACGGGCCAGCCCATTTTTGGGCCGGGCTGGCCCGTTTTGACACCTCTAGTGGTGATGAAACAATGAATTTTCCCTCCTTTTATAGATGCAGGCAGCCACCTTGGGAAATGAAGAAAGCTAATTAATTCCTTAGGAAACCTCTTCTCATAATCCTTAGGAAATCTCCTCCAATAAACCTTTGGAAACCTCTTCTCAAGTTCCTTTAGGAAATCTCTTCCCAAGTTCATCCCAAGCAAACTTCTGCCCTACAACTTCATCCCAACATCCACTCTTTAACTTCTACAGTTCTACCCAATAACCCATTCTCCAACCCAAATAATTGTCAGCAAACTTTTCCATCAAGCTAACAAATATTGCAGTGGAATAGGCTTGGTCCAAAGTGAGCTATTTACCACCTAGGAGGGAAGCCCCGAATAGTTATGCTGTGCATCTGTATGCACCATGCATGGTGCATACAGATGCAAAAACGACGTCGTTTTATTAAAAACGCGCGTATTCCCTTTAAAAAAAAAATTCAGGTTCGATTCCTAGTAACAACATTATTTTGTTCATTCATTATGGAATTTTAGTTCATGGATTATGGAATTATAGTTCATCGATTATGGAACTATAGTTCATCGATTCTGGAATTATAGTTTATCGATTCTGAAATTTTAGTTCATAGATTCTGGAATTTTAGTTCATTCATTCTGAAAATTTTAGTTCATAGATTAGATTATGGAATTATAGTTAATCAATTATGGAATTATAGTTCATCGATTATGGAATTATAGTTCATCGATTATGGAATTATAGTTTCGAACCTAATTTTTTTTTTTTTAAGGGGAGATGCGCGTTTTATAAAAACGACGTCGTTTTTGCATCCGTATGCACCATGCTTGGTGCATACGGATGCACAGCATAATTTGCCGGAAGCCCCAACCCAACACTTCAACACATAACAAACATTTGGCCATGAGTTTCTGACCTGCAAATTAAACTCAAAACTCATGATTCAATCTGATAAAGCCCCTTCGTAACATGCATGCTCAGAATACTAATAATAATAAATTAATTTGATAAATGGTAGAGCTTTGTGATCTCAATATCAGAATAATAATATCTACCAGATGCACTTCAGACTGGACAAAGGCACAATAATTTTATTAACATGCAATAACAACATTAAATGGCTATCAGAATATTTTTCAGCACATGGAAAAGGGAAACGATACATACATCTCAGATTTCAATTACACTAGCAAAGCTCAATGTTACTATTTAAGTATTAAAATTCCTTGGCATTGCCAATGAAGTTAGCAAAAGAAGTATATTCTTAAAACCATTAAATTAATCTACATGTATAGCAGCTTAAATTACCTTGCCAAGTTCAGTAAGGATAGGAGGAACAACTTCATAAAGCTTTTAGCTTTGAAACCTGCAAAAGAAAAATAAAGGAGTCCTCATATGTTGGTCCCCAGAGCCTAAAAAATAAACTACGTGTAAGTGCTTTAAAAAATTGGACAAAATTCTGTAATCAGAACATTGGGAATTGAAAACTCACTTCGACTTGTGAATCCCTTTTTCATATGCCTTCTGAAATTCACTGTTACCTTGCAGTAACTGTTAAGTTAGTTCTTAGCATCTCCAATTGGGAGTCACTGACATGCAATTACTCATATTTTAAGGTCTATCAACAAGTCTCCAAATACAGAGGTTATGGAAACACAGAGATTGTGTAGCCAGAGGCACATTTGCATATGATGTAACCAAAACCCTATGCAACAAGATTTTACTTGTATTATCTTTGAAGTTTTTTAAAGTATATACACTTGCTATATGAAATTGTAATTAATTCTTAAGTGTATACTATAATAATACTCTGACGTGTATATGCACCGTTCGACAAAAGTTATAATTAATTTCCCACTTTTTGATTATAAAAATATAAGATAACACAACTTGTATAGGATAACCATTTGACTTCGTTTTAGCTCGTGGAATTGGAGTTTCCTTGAAGTTTGTCTTAGCTTGCCACATTGTCTTAGTATGGCAAATATGAAGTTAAACAAGTCTTGGTTTTCCTCTACAACAATTGTTTTGTTCTTCGTTTTCATTCAACAAAAATAAATTGAAGTAAACATGGCAACAACTCACCTCCATGATCTCCTTGTATAGTTGAGTCATGACATTATCCCAATTGCAATTCAATCACTCAATTGAATTGAACTTGCCCCATATCATGGATAAGGATCTGTGTTTATCTGTAGCATTTAAAGCCTTTGTTTTTTTTAGTACTACAAACTCTGTTACAACTGTAATATCTGTTCATAACAATTTTCTCAACCTACTATAGGACAAAGAGCACAAAAGAGTCAATATTCTCAACCTACTAAAACACAAAAAGCACGAAAGAGTCAATACTACTCCCAGTGAACCTATGATCTCTTATTTAGAAATGTTGAGATATTTGGTGATATTAATTATCTATATTAATAATCATGTGTCTCTTGGGTTTTCCATGTGTCTCTTGGGTTTCCCATGTGTCTTCTGGGTTTCCCATGTGTCTCTTTGTTTTCTTTGTATTCATTCTTCATCATCTTCTTGGCACTATAAATAGAGTGCTTGTATTGAGGTTTAGACACAAGACACAATATATAATCAATTCTCCATTTTTTTCTTATTTGTTTATATTCTA